ATAGATAACCTGAAACAAATATGGGAGCAACTGCATTTCAGCATCCTCCTTGTCTGAGCTAAAGATACTGAAGGTCGAAAACTGTCCAAATCTATCGACAATTTTCCCGGCTGTTGCAGCTAGAAGTCTTCTGCAATTTGAGCAACTTATGATAGAGAACTGTGGAGTGGAGTACATTGTTTCAAAACATGAAGGAGAAGAAACTGCATCCCTTAACTTTGTGTTTCCTCAAGTATCATCGGTAGAATTTAGGAATTTGCCAGAACTCAAAAGTTTCTACCCCAGTAAGCATACTACTGAATGGCCAAAGTTAAAACGACTGGATGTGTATCACTGCGAGAAACTATGGCTATTTTCTCCAGAATATGTAATCCATTCATATGAAGATAGTAGACTTGATGTCCCAGACCTGCAAATGCCTCTTGTGTTGGTTGAAAAGGTATTAAACTATTATGTTGTCTTTTTTTCAGAGCTATTCCATTAACCTTACTCAACCTACTTACTTTTCTTAAAGCTCTTTAGATGATAGATAAAATTCAAAGGAAGAAGAACATTAAAGACCAAGATCTATATTTGATTTTATTTTGACTGGTTCAGGTCCTTCCCAACTTGGAAATAATGTCATTGAAGGAGGAAGACATCACAATGATATCCTACAGCAACATTTCTCCAGCAGACCTATTTTCCAAAACAAAATTTCTTCTGGTGCAGTGCTTTCATAGTGAATCAGCTGTCATGCCTCTGGATTTTCTTGAGAGAATACATGATGTGGAAAAGTTGGGTATTGGATGCAGTTATTTCCCAGAACTAATACCATACCGAGGAGGAGGAAAATACACTGGGATATTCACTCGGATAAGATATCTAAGGCTAGATACTCTTCCTTGGATACAACATGTAGGAATCCATGGCAGTCAATTTGAATCAGCTCTGCAGAATCTCGAAACCTTGGAAGTATGGTTTTGTGATGGTTTGACAAGCTTAACACCATCCTCAGTCTCATTTCCAAATCTGAAAACCTTGGATATATGGGGGTGTAAATCATTGATGACATTGGTGACATCCTCAGCTGCTAGAAGGCTGGAACAGCTCACAGAGATGAGGATAAGAGAGTGTGAAATGCTGAGAGAAGTGGTTTCAACTGAGGGAGATGAAACAGAAGAAGAAATTGTTTTTGGGAAATTAAGACGTATAGAATTTGATGGTTTATCAAACCTGTGTTTTTTCTGCTCATCAAATTGCAGGTTCAAGTTTCCTGCATTGGAGGAAATGATTGTCAATAAATGCCATGGGTTGGTGATTTTTTGTGAAGGAGTGTTGAGCACACCATTGCTGAGCAGAGTATGGCTGACAAAAGAATGTCATGAGTGGCGTTGGGAGGGTGATCTTAATGCCACTGTATGTATGTTGTACCAAGAAAGGCTAGCAGCTGGTACATCCGATCGAAGTCATATACAATCGTGAAGCTCTACGATTGTAAGTTCTAATCTTATTAGTATTAGTATTTTTTTTAAAATTTAATCCTATTTAATAATACAAGTAAATAACATTTGTGTTATACTAACACCACAATGCAATCCTATAGTTTTGTACTTCTAAAATTTTACTTCCTTTTCTTCAATTCATTTGTTTAGTTTCTCCTCCTTTGAAATGAGAAGCTTCGTTTTATTTCATTTCAACTAAAATGCTATATTTTTGTTCTGGTCTCATAGCTATACCCAAAAACAACCAAGAATTACCTTTCCACAATCGTAATAGAATCCGTACCTGATAGTTCCAAGCTCTCCATCGAGCTCCTAATCATCTCATTCTAAAAAAATAACCAAGAAATATCCATTCACGACCGTAATAGAATCTGTATATAATATTTTGAAGTCCTCCAAGAACCTCCTAACGATCACATTCTAAAAAAAATAACCAAGAAATTTCTCTTCAAGATCGTAATAGAATATGTACCTTATATTTCCAAGCTCTCCGTCGGATTATAACAATTGCATTTTATAAAAACAACAACGAAATATATTTCACAACCGTAATAGAATCTGTACCTAATATCTCCAACCTCTCCGCCGAATTCCTAACGACCACATTCTACAAAAACAACGAAGAAATATCTTTTCACAACCGTAAAAGAATCCATACCTAATATTTCCAAGTCCTCAATCGAACTCCTAACGATCACATTCTAAAAAAACAACCAAGAAATATCTCATTCAGATCGTAATAGAATCTGTACTTGATATCTCTGACCTCTCTACCAAACAAAAACAACCAAGAAAGAGAATTTGTACCTGATATTTTCAAGCTCTCCGCCAGTCTCCTAATGATCACATTCTACAAAAACAACCAAAAAATATCTTTTCACGGTAGTAATAGATTTTGTACCTGATATTTCCAAGCTCTCCGCCGAACTCCTAACAATCACATTATAGTTTTCGCTGCATAGGCGACCTTCTTATCTGCTTTCTCTCTTTATTTTCTCTTTTCTGTAATAGAGAAGAAAGGGTAGAAACTTTGCAATAAGTCAAACAAGTAATGGCCTCTAGCGCTAAATAAGAAGAGACTTAAGAACGGTTGACATGACATCCAGTTTGACAGTGTTAAAAGTTGTAACGGTGTATGCGTTTTAATTAAATTATTATATTTAAAATTATTTTTAATAACAAAATATATATTTAGTAACTAAAAAATTAATGTTTATAATTATGAGATTATTATAATATTTTTTATTAAATACAAATAAATAAATAATTATTGCAAAGCGAATACAAATAAATAAATGATTATTGTAAAACGAATTAATATTTTTTACATAATTTAAAAGTTATACAAAACTTTTAAATCAACTAACGTAAAAGATATAACTAAAATTTATTTAATTATATATTAAATACATAAATTATTACTAAAATTTACATACTGAATAATTAATATCTAAATTATAACAAAAATATAATAGAATTAAATTAAACGTAACAGAATCGTTATTACGTTTAGAAAAAGTTGATTTGTGTATTAAATTTACACAGAAAAATTTATAAAACTTAAATAAAAAATTTTAACGCGAAATAAAAGTAATTTAAATATAAAAAGATTAAATAATTTTAAGTACCAAAATTAGTTAAAGAAAAAAAAAAAGAAGTGAAAGAATAAATCAAAAATCAAACAACAATTTATGCTTAACATTTAGCCAGATGCTGAGATAACATTCTTATTGTAATGATCCTTCTGAAAAATAATTTCTCTTTCTTTATTCAATTAAACTGTAGATGAAAGCCACAGATTTGTCTCTTTCTCTGGATTCTTTTATATATGTATATATATGTATATATGAAAATCTACCTTGACAATCAATGATCAAGCAAAAACAAATAAGGACCACAGATTATACATGTCATAGTTCATATAATATGTATATGTATATATGAAAGTCTCTTTCTCTGGATTCTTTTACCTTCTCCTCGTTAAACTGCCTTTCGCTACCTCGTTACTTTGGATTTCACACAACGAGTATATACTCTTGAACCCTGATAAGAACCAACAACTTATTTTTCTTTTAAGTTTCCAGGAAAAAGAAACAGGTGAGTTCTGAACTGACTGAAAAAAGTAATTGCTTATTGTAAAGAAACAGATTTCTGTCTCAACACATTTGGAAAGTGAAGGCACTACCGAAAAATTGCTTTTTTCGCAAGAGAAGCAGGTCAAGAATGTATCTTTACCATTGATAAGTTAATGAGAATGGGAAAAATTATGGTTAATGGTTGCTACATTTGCAAGAAAGCAGCAGAATCTTGTAATTATATCATTCTCTGGTGTCCGGTGGAGTATAGTATTCGAACTATAGTTTATGAACTGTTGGATATCAACTGGGTTATTGCAGATGAAGTTAGGGATGAAATTTGGGTTTGAGGTGGGATTTGTATAAAGAAGAAAATTGTAAAGATTGTTTCTTTTAAGTATTTTTTTTGAGTAGCATAGAAAGAGATGAACAATAGAGTGTTTGAAGAGTGTGTGGAGTTATAGTAAGAATTAGAGATAGGTAGATATATAATTTTAGGTCTCTAATTTTGGGGCATGATATATATGAGTGAGTAAATTTTGGGAAGATCATTGATGTTTTCACCGAAGTGTAAATATTTTGTATACGGGTGACACTCTTTTGGTGCCGTATTACTTAATACACTTTCTTTTTATCTTAAAGAAAAGGTCATGACAGGGAACCAAGAATTAAATAATCAGAAACTTGGAAATTTCTTTTCTTCCTTTATTTTTTCCAATTGGTCTGAAGCCATTAAAGATTTGTTTTCTTGTATACTTTGTTTCTACTTGTTCTTAATCTTTCTGTCTGGATTTGAATTTAATCGACAATTTCAATTCTAAACAATTCAAAGATCATTGTTACAAGCTAATTTGTCATGTGTCTCTAACAACACATTCTTTTCAGTTCATTTTTCCTCCCTGTTTTTCTTCTCCATCTACTTGAATCAGAAAACCAGTAACCAGAAAGCAAAAGAAAGAAAAAAAGGACATAAATGGATCTACAGACAGTTCTACAGTTTGTCACTGGTTTTGATGATGCTATGAGAAAAGGGGGGAAGAGATTGAAGCTGTTGTCAAGAGGTGGCTGAGCAATGTTAAAAAAAAAAAAGTCTTTGGTTTGAATTACTATCAAGTGGATTAATTTTTAAGCAGCAACTTGGTGCATGCCCTCTTGCCAAAACAAAATGAATATGAACACACATCCCGATATATATATGTATATATGAAAGTCCACTTTGACAATGAATGATCAAGCAAAAACGAGATGTTGACATTATTTTACACCTATAGAGACAAATAATGAATTATATACAATAAACTGGAATTTTCTTCACTTCTCCAAGTTAAATTGAGAGACCCAGAAGTCAACAAAAACCATGGAATTAAACAAATTTAAAAAAAAGAGACTTTTTTTTTTTATAAAAAATTTCTAATCTGGTTCTTTGGCTTGGCAATAGGGAATTGACCGCAATAAGTTTTGATCATTTCAGCAATATGAGCAAGTTTTGGTCATTGCTTCCTACCCCTAATTTTTTGTAGGATTGGAATTTTGAATCCAAATCTTTCTTAACAAATTCATAAGTGTTCTGTAACTAGTATTTCCGGGTGTTCTGTCTGTCTTTCATTTTCTTTTTGGCCTTTCCTTCACGGTCTTGTTCAAAGAAACAGTAAAAAGAAGAGGAGAAAATGGCTGCGCAGATAACTCTGCAGTTTGTTACTGCATTTACCTCTGTAATTTTAGACCATTCGGTCGCTCCCATTGGACGACAGATTGGTTATGTCTTCAACTACAAAAGCAACCTGCAAAGCCTCAAGAAGCAACTCCAGAAACTAAAAGATGAAAGAGACATGGTGCAACATTCTGTTGATGATGCTACAAGAAAAGGGGAAGAGATTGAAGCTGCTGTGGCAAGGTGGATGAAATATGCGGACAAGATCATCGAAGATGCAGAGGAAATTGTCTCTGAAGGTGAGGAATTTGCACGAAAGGGATGGTTTAGAAGGTCATGTATTGGCTTAAGGTCCCGTTATCGAGCTGGAAAGGGAGCAGCAAAGGAGAGCAAAAGTGTTGTTAAACTCCAGGAAGAAGGAAAGTTTGATAAAGTCTCGTATCGTGGTCTTCCGCAAGGGATTTGGATCACAGCTTCGAAAGGTTACGAAGCATTTGAGTCAAGAAAGCACACCATGAATGGAATTACAGAGACCTTAAAGGATCCCAATGTCAACATGGTCGGAGTGTATGGGATGGGAGGTGTTGGCAAAACCACACTGGTTAAAGAAGTTGCCAAGAAAGCCAAGCAGGATGGAATTTTCAACATGGTGGTCATGGCATAGGTCTCGCAGAGGAAAGACATTAAGAAGATTCAAGGAGAAATTGCAGACAAGTTAGGTCTGGAATTTCGTGAAGAGAGTGTATCAGGTCGTGCAGATAGGCTTTGTGATAGGTTGAAGAAGGAGAAGAGGATCCTGGTAATTTTAGACAATTTGTGGGAGAGACTTGACTTGGAGGAAGTAGGAATTCCATTTGGAGAGGCTCACCCGGGATGCAAGATACTGTTGACATCAAGGGATCACAATGTCTTGTCATGTGGAATGAATAGTCATAAAAATTTTGCAGTTGGAATCTTACAGGAAAATGAAGCATGGGAGCTGTTCAAGAACATTACAGGAGATATCGTTGAAAGTTCTGAATTGCAGTCTACAGCAACTGAAGTTGTAAGGGAATGTGCAGGTTTGCCAATTGCCATTGTATCAGTTGCAGGAGCTTTGAAAAACAAAAGTCTGCCCTTGTGGAAGAACGCTCTTCGAGAACTGACAAGGCCCTCCTCAAGAAACTTCACTGGAATGCAGGCAGTTGTATATTCAACTATAGAGTTGAGTTACAATCACCTGGAAAGTGAAGAACTTAAGTCAACTTTCTTGCTCTGTGCTGCTATGGGTTCTCCTATGATTATAGACTTGTTGAAATATGGTATTGGCTTGGGTTTGTTCCAACATACTGATACAGTTGAGGAGGCACAAGATAGAGTACACACTTTGCTGAGCAATCTCGAAGCTTCTGGTTTGCTACTCGAAGCTTCAAACAGTAAAGAATTCGCCATACATGATGTTGTCCGTGATGTTGCAGTATCTGTGGCAGCTCGCGATTGGCATATGTTTGCGGTATTGAGAAATGTGGTTAGACCAAAAGATTGGCCTAATGCAGATTGCACTGGTATCTCACTGTTTTATAATGATATCAGGGAGTTCCCAGAAGAGCTAGAGTGCCCAAGATTGAAGTTCTTTTATATCGGCAATAAGGATCCTTCTTTGAGCATCCCGGACAACTTTTTTGCAGAGACAAAGGAACTTAGAGTACTTGATTTGACTGAAGTGAATCTCTCGTCAATACCTCCCTCAATTCATCAGCTAGCTAATCTTCGAACCTTGTGTCTTGATCACTGTGTATTGGGAGACATCAACATAATAGGAAAGTTGAAGAAACTCGAAATTCTCAGCCTTGTAGAATCTAATGTGGAACAACTGCCAATGGATTTAGGACAATTGACTCGGTTGCAGTTGTTAGATTTGAGTAACTGCTCCAAGCTGAGACTAATTCCAGCAGGTATCATGTCGAACCTGTCACGACTAGAGCAGCTTTACATGGGCAACAGCTTTAACAGATGGGATACTGAAGACCTTGACAACCAGGCAAGTAATATTAGCCTTTCAGAGTTAAGGCATTTGCCTCAACTTACAGTTCTAGAGATACATATTCCAGACGCACAAGTTACGCTCAAAGATTTATTCTCCGAGGAGTTGGACCGATTTACATATTTATAAGAGATGTTTCTGACTGGACTGCTAAGTATGAAACCTCAAGAACATTGAAACTCAAAAGCTGTACAAGCCTTCAATGGGATGATGGGATCTGTAAGTTGTTGAAAAAAACTGAAGATCTATATTTAGATGAAATGCAGGATGGAGGAAGTATTCTTTGGGAACTGGATAAGGAAGGTTTTCCAAGACTGAAGCATCTTCACCTCAATAATAGTCCTAAGATTCGATACATTGTGAATTCTATGGAGGAGCCATGGTTTAGTTCAAATGCTTTTCCAGTTTTAGAGTCATTGTTTGTCCAGAATTTGATCAACCTTGAGAAGATATGTCATGGGAAACTTAGAGTGGGATGTTTCAGCAAATTAAGAAAAGTAAAAGTGGGAAATTGTCAAAAACTGGAGAGGCTATTCCCTTTGTCCGTTTTCAAGAGCCTTCTGCAACTTGAGGAAATTGAAATTACGGATTGTGAGAACATAGCAGGGATTGTCACGGAGGAAAGAGTGGTTCCTTCTGTTGATAATGAAACATCTGAGATTGAGCTTCGTCAATTACGGTCCTTGACCCTACAAAATCTACAGAAACTCGTTAGCTTCCACTACAAGGAACAACTGTCTCCAACATTTCAAAGTAGAACATCAAATTCCATGCTACTTTTGGATGAAAAGGTATTATTTTTGGGTTTGCTTATTTATGCTAAAAGGTTCCATATTTTTTCTGCCTTACCATAAAAATACAAACCTGTAATGCATGCAGATTCTGTTCCACAGTTTGGAAGACTTGAAATTGTCATCCGTGAACATAGCAAAGATATGGCCTGACCAATCCTCAGCAGTAGCTTCTTGCCTAAAGAAGCTGAAAACCTTGACTTTGGAGGGTTGCGACAATTTAAAATATGTGTTTTCATCATCTATGGTTAAAAATATTCTGCAACTCAAAACACTTGTAGTACGTGATTGTAAGTCGGTGGAAAAGATCATAGTAACAGAAAGGTTACATGATGAAAGAAACATGAATGAATTGTTCTTCCCTGAACTATATGACCTGAGGCTTGAAAATCTTCCCCAACTTACTGGATTTTGTGCTAGAAGTTTAACTGACTTTCCATCCTTGAGATGGTTGGTGATAAAGAAATGCCCTGAACTGGAGTCATTTACCTCCAACACTGCAAGGGATCAGAGAATATTGGCAGCAGAATCTCAAAGAGAAGCAATACCTCTCTTTAATGAAAAGGTGACTCAATCTTTCTTCTTTTCCCTGTTTTGTTTTCATTCTTAATTCTGCAATTGCAATTCTGAAGTCTAAAACTTGAAATCTCTCTACCATTTTCCCTTGTACCCAATCACAGATGATATTATTGTTTAATCAATAATTACTTTCTACAGGTCAAGCTACCCAACTTAGAGAGATTATTAATTGAGGAGATGGATAACTTGGAAAAACTATGGAACAGCCAACTCGCCCCAGATGCTTTCTCCAAACTAGATTACTTTGCAGTATGGAACTGCAAAAAACTATTAACTGTCTTTCCATCTAATATGATAAACAGGCTCCAGAGATTAGACCGGATGCGGGTACATCTCTGCCCCTCATTAAAATCAATATTTGAACCTCTAGGGGCTGAGCATCCGGAATCAAGATCAGCAATCCCCAAGTTTGTATTTCCTCAAGTAACGGTCTTGGAGATTTGGGACATACCAGAACTCAGAAGTATATACCCTGGAATGCATACTACAGAATGGCCATTGCTGAAAAGAATGCACTTACATGGGTGTGACAAAGTGAATGTATTTGCTTCAGGAGCTCCTTGGTTTCTACAAACACAAAGAGGTGAGCAAACAGAGATTTCAAATCAACAACCTCTCTTCCTGGTTGATGAGGTATGAGAAAAGTACTATCTTAACTTTTAACAACTTCTCCGCATGTTGTAAGAGGGATAAGTAGAACACCTTGTTTCATTAATAATGAAAATTTATCTTTCAGGAGACCTTTCCTAACCTGGAGGAGTTGAAGTTGCAGAGAATTGATGCCATTACAGAGATATGGCATGGAAAATTTTCAGCCGCATACTTATGCAAATTAAAAGTTCTTGAACTGACAGACTTTCTTAAGAGACCTATCCTTCCTTCCCTCAGTTTCATTCAGTTACTACCAGCTCTTGAAAAGCTTAATATTAGTGAAGCCCCTTTTGAGTCCATATTTCAATCTAGAGAGTGTGCTAGGGATGAAATGCTTGCAGGGAGACTGACTAAGTTAAGTGAATTAAAGTTGTCTAAACTCCCTGATTTAAAGCATCTATTGAAGGAGGAAGATGAACCCGGCCTTGTTCTTCCATGCTTAAGGCCTGAACAAGTAGAGTCGATAACATTCAAGAATCTGACAGTTCTCGAGGTATCAAAATGTGGTAGATTAGTAAGTTTAGTGAGACAGTGTACAGCCAGGAGCTTAGTCCAACTCCAAAAGCTAAGAATATCTGATTGTGAAATGATAGAAGGAATCATAGTTTACCTTGGGGGTGAAGTTAAAGACGGGATTGTATTAAAAAAATTGAAATCTTTAGAACTTCATTGTTTACCAAGTCTTGGAAGTTTCTGCTTCGGAGATTACCCTCTCGAATTTCCATCCTTGGAAGAAGTTATCATCAGAGGATGCCCAAGGATGAAGTTCTTCTCTCAGGGAGCCTTGAGCACGCCAAATCTGCAGAGAGTACAGTTGACTGAAGGAGACAATGAAGGGAACTGGAATGGTGACCTTAACACCACCATAAAACAGATGTCCTCAGAGATGGTAAGATCTGATTTATCAACATATGGATATATACATTATTTTTTATGTACAATATTACTTGTATATATTTGTCATTGATGACTTCTGCAATTTATTTGTCTTGGTAGGTTGGATATAACAGCTTAGAGCATTTGAAGCTCTCAATGTTCCCAGAGTTGGTGGAAATGTGGAGTAGGAGCCCATCAATACCTTTCAACTTCAAAACCCTGAAATTCCTGGAAGTCCAAAACTGTAACAACTTGAGGTACCTAATGTGTCCCTCCATGATACATAGCCTAGATCAACTGGAAGAGTTGAAAATAGAGAACTGCGCCCTGATGGAAAATGTAATTACCGCAGAAGATGCTGGGGAAATTACAGGAGTTAAATTGGCCTTCCCTTTGCTTAACTCCATTTCTCTTGAGTCTTTGCCCAACCTAACAAGTTTCTGTTTGGGAAGCAATGATCTTGAATGTCTATCCTTGGAAAAGATTACCATCAGGAACTGCCCCAAATTGATCACATTCTCTTCAGTGTTCCTAAAGGAGCAAGATCTAGGGGTCACTGGTGATGGAAACATTGAAAGTTCTAGCAACGGAGATGCTGATAACCCTGTTACATCACTTTTCAGGGAGAAGGTAACTTTAACTACGTTCCTACAATTCCCCTCTCTCATTGTTCATCATCTATGTGATTAACTTATTCCACTGCATGTTAATCGAAATAATCAGAATAGGCCTTCTAGGTATGGTTGTGTTATCCAGGAATAGTTTCGGTATAGCTCTTTCCTTCATTTCATATCGAGTGGCAAGCCTGTAAATTCAAAATGATGAGAAATCAGTTTGTTCATTCTTAAATTCAATCATATTAAGCAAATTAAAAACTAACGAGCCGACATATTTGGTTGAGTTTTTCATAGGCTGTGCTCCCTAAGCTTAAGGAAGTCGTCATCTCGCATATAGATAACCTGGAACAGATATGGAACAACTACATTTCAGCAACCTCCTTGTCTGAGCTAAAGATAGTGAAAGTCCAAAATTGTCCAAAGCTATCAACAGTTTTCCCAGCTGTTGCAGCTAGAAGTCTTCTGCAACTTGAGCAACTTCTGATAGGGTACTGTGGAGTGGAGTACATTGTTTCAAAACTTGAAGGAGACGAAACTGCATTCCTTAACTTTGTGTTTCCTCAAGTATCATCGGTAGAGCTTAGGACTTTGCCAGAGCTCAAAAGTTTCTACCCAAGTAAGCATACTACTGAATGGCCAAAGTTAAAAAGACTGGATGTGTACCACTGCGAGAAACTATGGCTATATTCTCCAGAATACGCAATCCAATCATACGAAGACGGTAGACTTAATGTCCCAGACCTGCAAATGCCTCTTGTGCTGGTTGAAAAGGTATTAAACTATCATGTTGTTTGTTTCAAAGCTATTCTATTAACCTTACTCAACCTTATTACTTTTCTTAAAGCTCTTTAGATGATAGATAAAATTCAAAGGCAGAAGAACATTTGAGACCAATATTTATATTTGATTCTATTTTGACTGGTTCAGGTCCTTCCCAACTTGGAAACCATGTCATTGAAGGAGGAAGACATTGCCATGATATCCTATAGCAACATTTCTCCGGCAGACCTATTTCGCAAAGCAAAATTTCTTCTGGTGCAGTGCTTTCATGGTGAATCAGCTGTCGTGCCTCTGGATTTTCTTGAGAGAATACATGATGTGGAAAAGTTGGGCATTGGATGCAGTTATTTCCCAGAACTAATACCATACCGAGGAGGAGGTAAATACACTGGGATATTCACCCGCATAAGAAATCTAAGGCTAGATACTCTTCCCTGGATACAACATGTAGGAATCCGTGGCAGCCAATTTGAATCAGCTCTGCAGAATCTTGAAATCTTGGAAGTGTGGTTTTGTGATGGTTTGACAAGCTTAACACCATCCTCAGTCTCATTTCCAAATCTGAAATCCTTGGATATATGGCAGTGTAAATCATTGAAGACATTAGTGACATTCTCAGCTGCCAGAAGGCTGGTACAGCTCACAGAGATGAGGATAAGAGAGTCTGGAATGCTGAGAGAAATGATTTCAACTGAGGGAGGTGAACCAGAAGAAGAGATTGTTTTTGGGAAATTAAGATGTATAGAACTTGATGATTTATCAAGCCTGTATTGTTTCTGCTCATCAAATTGCAGGCTCAAGTTTCCTGCACTGGAGGAAATGATTGTCAATAAATGCTATGGGTTTGTGATCTTCTGTAAAGGAGTCTTGAGCACACCATTGCTGAGCAGAGTATGGCTGAAAACAGAATATGATGAGTGGCGTTGGGAGGGTGATCTTAATGCCACTGTAAACATATTGTACCAGGAAAGGCTAGCAGCGGGTACATCCGATCGACGCCATATACAATAGTGAAACTCGATTGTAAGTTCCAATGCAATCCTATCATTTTGTACTTCTAAAATTTTACTTGCTTTCTTCCATTCATTTGTTTAGTTTCTCATTGTTTTTTTTTTTGTGAGGTAAGTTTAGTTTTTCCTCCTTTGACATGAGAAGCTTCATTTTATTTCATCACCAAGTACAATGCTCTATTTCGTTCTAGTTTTATAGCTATATGCAAAAACAACCAAGAAATATCTTCCAATAACCGTAATAGAATCTGTACCTAATATTTCCAAACTCTCTGCCGAGCTCCTAGTTATTGCATTCTACTAAAATAACCAAAAAATATCTCTATTCACGATAATAAGAGAATCTGTATATGATATTTTCAAAAAATATCTATTTAATAAAATTTATTTAATTATACATTAAATATATAAATTATTACTGAAATTTATATATTGAATGATTAAGATTTAAATTAGAACGAAATATAATAAAATTGAATCAAATGTAATGAAATCGTTATTTCATTTAGAGAAAGTTGATTTTTGCATTAAATTTACATAGAAAAATTTATAAAACTTAAGTAAAAAATTTTAGTGTGAAATAAAAGTAATTTAAATATAAAAGATCACGTAATTGTAATTACCAAAATTAGTGGGAAAAAATGAAATAGTTAATCAAAAATCAAATGATAACTAATTAACTTTTTTTTTTCATTTAGGCAACAGTTGAGATAATATTCTTACTGTAATGATCTTTAAAAAAAAAAAAAATTCTCTTTCTTTATTCAATTTAACTGTTGATGAAAGCCACAGATTCATAACTTCCTTTGGGTTCATTTATCTTCTCCGCGTTAAACTGTTTGTTGCTACCTGCTTACTTTGGATTTCACAGAACGAGTATATACTCTCGAACCCTGATAATGACCAACAACTTATTTTGCTTTTTAAGTTTTCAGGAAAATATATGTAAAGTTTTCAAGAAAAGGAAACGGGTGAATTCTGAACTAACCGAAAAAAGTAATTGCTTATTGTAAAGCAAATGACATGCATAACATGATAGATTTCCGACTCAACAGATTTGGAAAGTGAAGGCACCACCAAGAGTTGTTTTCTTCACACGGAAAGCAAGTCAGAAATGTATCCTTACCATTGCAATGTCGATGAGAAGGCACAAAATTATGGTTAATAGTTGCTACATGTGCGAGAAGCAGTAGATCTTGTAATCATATTGTAACGGCCCCGGAAAATATTAAAATGAAATGAGTATTTAAATATATCAAATGCGGAAGCGAGATCAAATTTCATTAACATCCTTACACGAAAACCCAAACAAACGTACTTAAAATATAAAAGGGTTAAACTAACTAAGAGAGGAACTCGAAAATAAGACTATGCGTATGTCTACAGAGTCTCTAGGCATCCCCTTCGTCGTCCTCGTGCGGAACGGGCTCGGGAACCATGTCTTCCTGATCTGAAATGGTTAATTAAGGAGTGAGCTACACTAGCCCAGTAAGAACATCACGATATCTCACCGTCACGGAAATAAAGGCGGGTAGAAAACCACAAAAAGACCAATGGAGCACAATTTACAATAAACTCGTTTATTAACATGAAAACCTTTACCATCCACTTACCTTGGTGGAATTTATGAAAACAATATGAGAAAAACAATAACATCATCATAATCATTTAATAATCTAAGCTGTAAAACATAACACTTATCACGCCTCTTGTAATTCAATCATTGTACAACATATCCATTTTTCTCATTTACCAGCCTACTAGTATCCGTGGGGGTCCATAGGGGTTCCGCTACCCGTTAACCTTTAACATTCATAATCAGTTTCCAGGGCCGTCCCCATACCCCGTCCGGTATGGGCGCCAAAACCATGAACCTCAATACCCCGTCCGGTATGAGGGTGAAACGGGCCGTCCTCATACCCCGTCCGGTATGGGCGCCAAAACCATAAACCTCAATACCCCGTCCGGTATGAGGGTGAAACGGGCCGTCCCCATACCCCGTCCGGTATGGGCGCCAAAACCATAAGATCTCCATACCCCGTCCGGCATGTGAGACCACAATCCCGGTAGGGTTCCCTACGGACCCGGTCCGTCCACCATCTCCCAGGATATCTAGTCAGGCTGACCCCCATAATACAATTATCAGTCTATACAATCTTTCATTTTCCTTTTCCTCAATCAACATCATCAATTCACATTTAAACAAGCAAATCGTAATTCATACCAACAGACAACATACAATATCAGTTTTTCAGTCATTCAACCCATAATTAATAAAAACGTAGTATATGCACACAAATCTGTAAAATGAACACATCAAACCCCATAATGCATTTAAAGCTGTAAAACAGTGTAAAACAGGCCAATTAACAGTAAATCATCAATCACACTAGACTCGGGCTCCATTAGCAACCTTAAGCAATTTCACACATGCGTTAATTCAAGAAATACCATTTTATCATTTTGAACTTTAATACCGTGATAGGAAATAGGGTGAGGGGTCCTTACCTGTTTTCGGGATCCGAATACGATTCACAGTGCGCCTGCAGGCTGTCCCTAATTTTCCCCTGAATTTTTCCCGGGGAACTGAAACACGCTCACAGTACCTGCACGGGTTCCAAAAAAATCCAAATTAGGCCCAGGGCCTCTTTCGGCCCAAATCGCAACTCCGGCACGGCGGCTCCGCCGTGCTCCGGCGACGGCGCCGCCGCTGGCGGCGGCGAGTCGCCTCGGGTTGACTGTTTTCGGCCGTTTTTTGGCCGAATTCGGCCACACTCGCATTGGTCCTTGTCAGAAAACAACCCTAGGGCCCTCGGGGGGCCAAAAAATCACGGAAAAACGGAGCTTACCGGCGGCGGCGCTCTCGGGTACGGCGACTCTCCGGCGAAGTTCGTGTTTTGGTGATTTGGCTTCGGTTAACCTGTAGAGAAAAGAATGGTGATCACGGTGATATAAAAATTGCATCGAACGGAGGCCGGGAAGGGCCTCGTCGGAGGCAAAAAACCGAGAGAGGGCGCGGCGGCGCCGCTGGGCTTCGGCCGTGTATTCCGGCCGTTTGGCCGGGATTTTGGCTCCGATTTGGCCACAGGAGGAATCAGCATGGAAAAACGAGTCGGGGTACGAAATTTACCTCGATCGGCGGTCGAAAGTTCCTCCGGTGCGGCGGCGGGTGGCAGCGGCCGGCTTCTGGTTCGTCTTCTCCGGCGAGCGGCAGGCGGCTAGGGTTTGTGGTCTAGTGTGGGGGTTCTATTTATAACCCCTTGCCTTTTGATCTCAGCCGTCCATTTTGTTTTAATCTGGGCCGTCCGTTTTGATTAAATCTGGGCCGTCCGTGCATTTAAATCTGGGCCGTCCGATCGCGCTAACTCGGATCGCCAACGTGGCCCTTTTTAGAACGATGTGGTTTTGCCACGTGGCAGGTCTCGGTTGGCCGGGACTGCTGACCGGGCCTGCTGACGTGGCTGCCGACGTGGCATTTTTTTTTTTTTTTTCTTTCTTCTTCCCGGTCCGGGCGCTACAATAGTGATAGAAATATACCAATGACTAAGGTAAGTAGTGATTGGTGTTATGAACCTG